CACACAGTCCAGACCTGGGGGTCGGACAAGCCGGGCAAAGTAGCTCTAACAGCTGGCTAATGTGTGGGTTGGCAATGGAACGGGGTGTATCAAACCTTAGCCCACAAGCAAAACTAGAAACCAGGATGGAGCACAGGTCATGCTGAGCTAGGCTCTTACACCTATTGGTCTGCGTGAGCCAGGGACACTAAGCCACAGTGTCTAAGACAGGGGCCAGGACAGGTGATGGGCTGTGCCAAACTGAGTCAGAGCAACCACTGGCATGCACATGATCTATGGCTGGGAACAGGCCCAGTTGGGGAACTAAGGGGACACCCTAGCTGGGTTGAGGTTCCCACCAAGGGGCGTGTGGCATGGAATGGGGGCTGTGTTCTGATAGGGAAACGGTTGTAGTCTTCCTTGGCATAAATGTGGGCGGGGACTGGACGCACCAAGCTGGGCCAGACTCCAACACTGTCTGGTGTCCTGGAGGACCAGGGTAAATGTGGGACAGACTAGGCTAGGTCTCTACCAATACTGAGCCATGTGTGAGCCGTATGTGGGAATGGACGAGCCGTGGCTGTGCTGAAAGATCCAGATTGGATTGAAGGCCAGTCAGGAAATGCCACTGTTCCTGTTAGGACAGTAGGTGAACTAAGTAGGGCTGGCTCGTGGACCCCCTGGTATGCGCAAAATCTGGCATTGGGAAGGGTTCTGATGGAGGAGCCTGGGCAACTCCTCTGGCAGGACACAGACCCTTCAGATACGCACCAAGTCAACTACCTCAGCCATATGTTGGCAGTGAAAACCTGGGCAAACGGAGACTATGATGGACTACGTCAATCAGTGGATTCTTCAGCGACCTCATCGTGCTCGGAACGGCAAGATTGGCAGCAATTCATAACTCCTGAACTATCAAAACAACTTGAGCAAGACCCTCGGAGCATGCCCAACATCAGGGACCTACGGTGAGTGGGGGATTGGGTGGGGCTTCTCCCTTTATCTCCCCATTTACCCCAGAAATGACAAAAACAATGTGGAAATAATAGTCTTACCCACTTTTCTGTATCCCTTTAACCTTTTTTCCCTAACTAAGTAAACAGTGTCAAAAATAAAGAAAACCTGACACAAAACAAAACAAAAAAAACCCCACTGTTGCATATTAATAACAGACTCTCAAAATCTAATTTCTCCAATATGTACTTAAAATAAATTTTGCATTTTTATTCAATTTAAGTGTAACAGCATGAGGAGTTTATATAGTTTTTTAAAAATATATTAGTTGAAAATACTATTCTATGTTCATATTCCATCTTACAAATTAGAAAACAGGAATTATCTGGTGGATGTAATAAAGCTGTCATATACAAGGAAGAATTATTAATCTAGATCCCATAGCAGTTTTAATGGCAAATTGAAAGAAACTGAGATCAATGGCTTTCTCTGACCGCTATACTCCTAATTCTAATTTAAACGATCAATACATGAATGTTGATGTGGCAGTTTGTTTTGAAGACATCGCTTTGTAGCTAGGACCAGATGTAAAATCTCAGCACTCAGTGCAGTGCCTGCAGGCCCTTTAAGAGGCTGCCCATCTCATCCTATCATATCAGTAGCCTGAATTTTCTTTACAATTTTAGTTTCCAGTAAGTTAGCTGACTCCAATTTGGTATCTGTCTGAAAATAACGTAAACCTGGCACCTTCCTTTCAAATTAAAAATGAAGCACATAGCCCAAAATTTTACTAACTGGGACCTGAATCTGGTAAAGCAGTGAAGCCACCTGTAATGCTGGTATACCACAGGTGTGATGGCTGGAGTTCCGGCTGCTCTAGTTCTGATTCAGCTTCCTGCTCATATGCCAGAGAAAGCAGAAGATGGTCTAGATGCTGGGGCCCCTACACCTACATGGAAAACCTGAATGAAGCGGCTAGCTTTGGTATGTCCCAGTCCTAGCCATTACTGTCCAGTTAAGGAGTGAACCAGCAGATGCAAAATCTCTAACACCCTCAGTTCCCCTCTAAGTCAGTCTTTCAAATAAATAAATCTTTAAAAAAAATATATACTATCAGACTCAAATCAAATGCACCATGTTTTGAAAGTTAGAATAGACACTTGAGAATCAGAGATCTTATCTTTGAATCTGACAATCTTAACATCTAAATAAGTACCAGTTTGAATTGAAATCCAATGGACAGAACAAAGACAGAAGCACACATGTTTTATTAGTAATCTGCAAACCACTTCTTCTACTGTCAGACACAAATTCCTGTTCTTTGGCAGAAAAACATAACTAGCATCCACAGCACAGTATCTGTAGCTCCCAAACCCTGTCCATCTTCTTTGGAACGTGTCTGACTGCCAATTAGATCCTTTGTGATCATAAATATTCCCACCTCTCAGAACAAAGTAAGGACTCAAAACCAACAAACAAACATTTGAAATGTACTTAAGCATGGCATAACCGCAAATTTTCCCCTGGGCCCTGATATACTTAATGCTGAGACCATAACAATAGAGTGTTGCCGTCCTTCCTGAAGAAAATTATGCTGTGTTTTCCAGAAGAGAGCTTTGCTCCATATCCAAGGACTTGTGAGCTGGGCTGTAGCGGGTACCTGTTAATACCCACACAACCACACTCAACCGAACCTTTGGCCCATGCCCCATCTTCCAGTATCAAGAAATCTGCAGCGAAATCCAAAGTCTATATAAATCCATAGTGAGTTCAACTTGCCACAGTGAACAGAAAATTACATTTCAAGGCTATATTGTCAAACAGATTTATCTAATTCTTGCTCGTCTTTTGATTATCAGTGTCAAGTAAATTTTATTGGCTAACTTTCAAAATGCTTAAAATGTGAGTGGAATGGAAATATTGAACAGCTATATATTAAAAAGCACAGTTCAATCTGTAAAATGCATCTTGCCTTTTTAATTTAAGATACAGACTTCCCTCTTCCACATGTTCAAATATAGAAGCTGCATTTACATTTGCAAAGACTAAGGAAATTTAATCAATCATTTTTCTCAAATTAAAATTTTTAAGATGTATTCACAAAGTTGTCTTCAGGAACATTTTGTGCTTAATATTATACATTTTAGACTCCAAGAATTTTGATATATTTTACTGAGCCCTGACAATGAACTAAGAAAAACTAAAGTTCCCTTTGAACTAACTGTTCCATCTCAAGGCTATACTACTTTGTTTCTTAAATAATTTTTCAACTTTTCTCCAGAGATAGAAACAATAACACCTTTCAAGATAAAGGTTCTAATTCTATAGTCACTGTATTTTAAACCCTCACCACTGATGTCACCCATAACCTAGAATTTGCAAGGGAGAAGGAACACCAATTCACCATAGTGGATGATGACGCTGGAAAAGACTGGCAGTCGCCCGTATGTCCCCCATGTCCCAAGCCCTCCCCACTCCCCACTGCCCCACCAAAGCGAATCGGAAACTGAAGTCCTAGAGTGGAACTTTAAATTGTTGAAGTAATCATTAAATTTCAAACGGGCTGTCATGTTTCACAGTTTGAAACAAAGGCTAAATGTTAAGACCTGCTAATGAAATGTAAGTCAAATAATGGTTGACTTTTAAACTAATTTTGAAGTCTTCCTTTTCATATGTTACACTAACTGCCACAAATATGCTGTATCTAGGGCTATTTAGGCAAAAAATGGAACTCAGGGGTTAAGATCAAGGTCTTTGGAGTGACAAACTGTCAGTACTTGATAGGACTTCAAAAAGTCACTTAACCTCTTGGAGCTTCACTTTCCTTATCTGCCATTCTGAAGATAACTGTAAAGCACTTGCATAATTCTTGGCACTCCAAAAGGGAGTGATAAATAACATCAAGAAATCTCTGCAAACTGCATTTGTAAAATAAATGGGGCTTAGTAATGGCCTTACAAGCTGTAAACTTTAAAGAAAGCACTAAGGGTCATAGATATGGCGTTTTATAATTGAAAACAAAGGTGGCAGCAGAGGTGAATGCCTAAACAAGTGAGACATGATTCAACAAACAATGAAGCAGAGACCAAGGTACAGGAACCCAATAACAACTAACACTCTGGAACACTCAGAAGTGTTTCAGGGACACAAAGAAAGAGGTGATCAGTTTATAAAGGTCAGCTTATAGCTACCTTTGACAAATAGTTGCATAATTGCATCAGTACACAGAAAAATTCTCCCAATCTATAAACAGAAAATGAGTTCAGTCAGTAACATTTTGAAGCAGGCACTGTGCACAACAAGCTAAGGTGTCACCCGCAGCACCCCTATCCTACACAGGGACTGGATCCAGCCCGGCTGTTCCACTGGCAATTCACCCCCCTGCTACAGCACCTGGGAAAGCAGTGAATTCTGGGCCCCTGTACCCAAATAGGAGAACTGGATGGGAGTTACAAGCTCCTGGCTTCGGCCTGGCCCAACAGCAGCTCCAGCCATTGCAGCCATCTGGGGAATGAACCAACAGATGGAAGACGTCTCTATCTCTCTAACTCTGCCTTTCGAATAAAGAAAGACTACTCTATATCATTACCTAAAAAACCTGAAAGAGCTAGTATTTCTTAACATTTAATGGCTATATAATTAGATTCATATTTAGAAATTAAGTATAAGAAACTTCTTCTAATTATTGATTTACAAATATAGGCTTAAATGGCTACACATATAAATATATTCTTAACATTACCCAGTAATTAATAAAAACGTCTTCACTGTTTACTATAGGTAGGCCTCATTTTGAACAAGACAGAAGCACTCGATGTTTGTGAAGCTTGTATTGTTTGCCACTGGGTATACCTCAACTCCTCCAAATACACATAGTAACCACTGCTAAACAGACACAGTCCATTCTACCTTCAAATGTCATTTCTGATAAATTCCTAAAGAACATTCATAATACAGGAGAAACGTAGCAAAAATATTCACACCTTAAAAACTGTACATAGATTAAGCTTTGAATATCTAATTTTGTTCAAAAATATTCCAACAAAAAGCACTCAGCACTCACTCACCTGTGCCTGTACACAGCGCAGAAGACCTCTAAATCTGTAGTCAAATCCAAGAGAAATCTGCAAGAGAAACAAAGTAGGAATTAGTCTGCAAAATCCTGTTGGACAAGGATCCTTGGCAGCAGATGGGATTTTCACAACCAAGTCTGGATACATCAGTGTACAACTGCTGTTCCTAACTTCTCTCCACAAGGGTTCCTCCTGGTAACTCAAGAAATGGAGAATCGGGCCCACAGCAATAGCATAGTGGTTAAAATCCTTGCCTTGCCCAGAATCCCATATGGGTGTCGGTTCTAATCCCGGGAGCCCTATTTCCCATCCAGATCCCTGCCTGTAGCCTGGGAAAGCGGTCGAGGATGGCCCAGCCCAAGGCTTTGGGACCCTGCACCCGCGTGGGAGACCCAGAAACTCCTGGCTCCTGGCTTCGGATTGGCTCAGCTCCAGCCATTGCAGCCTCGGATGGAAGATTTCCCCCTCTGTATATCTGACTTTCCAATAAAAAAAAAAAAAGGAGAAGTACATCAATTCTATTTGCACAGGGAAATGTGAAATATGCAAAGCCACACTTCACACTGAACTATGAGATGTCGACAAATTCTGTGTTCTTGTCATTACACTTTACTTTAGCTGCTTGTCTCATGACCAGCCTTCCACCAGACTGAGTGAATAAACAGCACAGGAGCCCTACCTACCCACTTCTAGGCACAATCCTATGGGCCAGGGCAGGGCCTCGCACACAGTAGCACACAGCAAATGTTGAATGCATGAATGACTGAATGAACACACTGATCTTAACTGGCCATGATTTACAGTTTACCAAACTGCATCCAGTTTATATGGACCAGAAATTATTGAAGAGAAACATCTATGCAATAACTATTTAAAGAGAGACATACAAAAGTAACTGATTTCTTATCTCAAGAAAAATGTTTATGGAAAATCATGTTAATGTTGACAACCACAATAACTTGCAGAAGAAAAAGAACTGAACGTTTGCCAAAATGAGAGCTGCTGCATGACAAGTTTCTTCGGGGTCTGTACTGTGTCTCTGGCAACAAAGAGCTTAACTGTGAGCAATCCCGCCGCCCCTCTACTCCTTCCTCCCCACCACTGCTGCAACCCTACCTCAACCAAGACGGGGCATACAAAGAGGGAGACAGGCAAGAGACAGGCATCTGAAATACTGTTTTTTAAGATTTAGCTATTTATTTATTGCACAGTCAGACATTCAGAGAGGAAAGACAGAGAAGATCTTCTGTCCAATGATTCACTCTTCAAGCAGCCGTAACGGCCAGAGCTGAGCCGTTCCAAAGCCAGGATCCCAGAGCCTTCTCTGGGTCTCCCACACGGGTGCAGGGTCCGAACGTTTCGGGCTGTCCTCTACTGTTCCAGCTGCCATATAGGATCCCCGTGGATGCAACACAAGGATTTTAGCCACTAAAACACACAACATTTTAGCCACTAGGATTTTAGCCAGTAAAGAGCTCTTAAATAAAGGTTTTAATACTGTTTGAAATTTGGTAAAGAACCCAAAGCATAAATTATTGCTGACTGGTGTTAACACATAGAAACATTTGCAAAATCATTAAATGTGGTAATATTTAATGATTTACAAAACCCACATTTGGGGCTGGCGTTTTGGCACAGCAGATTAAGCTGTCATCTATAATCTGTGACACCAGCATCTCCCATAGGTGGCAATATTCCCTAAATGTGTGCCTGGAAGATAGCTTAACTCCGTGAGCCTCTGTTGCCTATGTGGTTGGTCCCTGATGTCTTTATAAGCTCCTATCTTCACTGGCCCCAAACCTAGTGATTGTGGCCATTTGGGCGGGAGTGAACAACCAGATGGATAATTCTCTCTCTCTCTCTCTTTCGGTGTGCTTCTCAAATACAGCAGTCTTTAAAGGAACACAGGTTTTCAGTGTCACCACTGTAGCAGTATACATAAATATTCCAAGTGCAGGCCCGGCATGGTAGCCTAGTGGCTAAAGTCCTCACCTTGCACGCACCAGGATTCCATATAGGTGCCAGTTATAATCCTGACGGCCCCACTTCCCATCCTGATCCCTGCTTGTAGCCTAGGAAAGCAGTCAGGACAGACCAAAATCTTTGGACCCTGCACCTGCAAGGGAGACCCAGAGGAAACTCCTGGCTCCTGGCTTTGGATTGGCTCAGCTCTGGCTGCTGTGGACACTTAGAGTGAACCAGCAGCTGGAAGATCTTCTTTTCTTTCTCTCTGTAAATCTGACTTTCCAATAAAATTAAGTAAATGTTAAACAAACAAACAAACAAAAAAACATAGTTCTTTACTCTTCAGGATACTAAACAAAACATAACAGGAAAAAGTTGATTTAATATACAAATTACTATTTTCTAGTAAAATTGAAACGTGTGATTTCATAGTCAAAGAGGCATAAAGGAACTAGAAATAAACAACAACAATAAACAAACAAATAAACAAAAAACCAAAAACCTGCATTTGGATTTTTGCCAGGAGGACTTGAAAAGTCCAAAGATGCTCATATGTGATCAAATGCAGCCAGGATGTCAGTGAAATATAACTCATGGAAAACCAAAGGAAATCTGCCTGTGTGCGTGAGAGGTTCTTCCAGGACGCAGAAAGGATTCCTGCAAGTGGCAGTGCGGAATAGTGAGCAGCGAACAGCCACCAACTGGGAGGCATCAATCCTTCGCAGTACACCATGCTGGCCTCTTTAAGTCCATACCAACAGCTCATTTGCTCAAGGACATCACACAGTAACTTCAGCAAGCTTTACTAATACGTTAACACGAAGCAAAAGCATCCATGCACTCAAGTTCAAGAGAGATACATGGGAAGCATAACGATTCTTCCAAACACTCACAGTGCAATAAGGCATGTTGGTGTAACGCTTAAACAAGAGGGATTAATAAAATACTTTTATGAACACAGAACTTAAAATGTTTGATATACTACCAAGGAAACTGAGCAGTCGTTTAAAGTGCAGGTAATAAAAGCTCTGTGGTAAATACTTAACCTACTATTCTTCCATCAGGCCTAACAGTTTTCACAAAGCATGTCTAGGAATGCATTTCAAGGGGAGCACTGGGGGAAAGCCTGCCCTGGGCTTGGCAGAGGCACAGGAGGAAAATCAGCAACCTTGTAAGAGAGGCAGAGGGATATTATCGCACTCCTCCTCTTACTAGTACTATCATTTCTGCTCTATATGGGCTAAAAAGATACATTCCATCCCAGAAAACACTAATAGAAGTCACTAATAGAACACAGGCTGAAAGAAACCAGGGTTTAGCAGAACCTATCAGACCAGATTTCAACTTCCAGCTTTCCCACATAAATACTGTTGGAACGACACTATTATTATCATTATTATTATTATTATTATTATTATTATCATCATCATCATCATCAGTAGGTTAGGTATGTATCATCACTACCAGTTTAGCTATGTAACCTAGGAAATAATACTGCACAGATTCAACTATAAAACGGGCATAATAATGCTGTGATTGCAGCATCTTGGAAATATTAAAAAGCGATAATTATATAAAGTACCTGGTACAGAGAAGGCATTCTAATTATGATCTGACCAAGTATCATCCTGCTCAGTGTACTGGCAATGGCAGGTAACTCAACAAGGTGACGAAGAATAAGACGCACTAAACCTGACTAACCCTGAGCAGAACTGACTTCCTTGAGGTGTCCAATAGCTTTGCTGCTCCTGATTCTTTAAAAAATGCACCTATGTGGGGACTGCTGTGAAACTTTTTAGCCAGAGCTTCTTCAAGTTGAAAAGACTCAACTTTATTTCAAAACTTACTGTTCAGTGACAAAAACCAAAGTAGTAGGCTACTGACCCAAGGATGAACAATGAAACAAAGTCCAGAAACATCTTACAGATGTATGTTAGTTCACTGTCAACAAAAATAGCAAAGTAATTAATTCATTGAGGAAAGGGAAATCTTTGTAATGTTATGGTGCCAAAAGCCAGTGATTCATATAAAGAGAATAAAGAACTTTGATCTTTACCTTGTATCATGTACACAAATTAAAATGGATGGGATCACAGCTCTAAAGAAAGAACTAAAATTGTGAAACTTGTAGAAGAAAGCATCTGGAGGAACAAAATTGTGCTTTCAATCTGGCAAAAAAAAAAAACATAAAAAATACAGGCTATAAAATTGTAACGTAAAATGGGAAAAGGTGTATGCAAAAAAAAAAAAAACCAACCTTGACATCACCAGTCATTGGGAAATGTTAATTAAAATCATAAGGAAATACCCCACACAAGTTACAAGAACGTGGTTTATAAAAGAAATCCTCACTCCCATTGCCATGGAAAACACAATGCTAGATCCATTTGGGAAACAATTCATAAGTTTCTTATCCAATCCAACAAGTTTATCCTTTGTATGCTTTTGTTTTTCTTGGTCATAGGATGCCCATATAAAGAATTGTATCTAACTGTTCCTAGTTGTTACTGTTCACAACAGTCCAAAGCAGGAAATAATAACACAAACAGTCATCAACATGGAGGGTACATATTTAAAAATGGACTTCAATTGGAGTCCCCAATGATTAGGATGCTGCAACCTGATGAAGCTTGAAAACATGTAGCTAAACAAAAGAAGCAGCAAAGGGTCTAATTAAATCAATTTATTCAATTTTTAGAAAAATACATATTGAAATATGTTATGGGTGGAAGTGGGGAAGGTAGGCTGATTGAAAGTAGGACACAGATTTATTGCTATATTGATGTGGAAGAGATTGTGTAAAAGATAGTTTCACTGTCAACAAATTATTTTGATCTATGTGATTGCTATGTTGACATATGCCTGCTTTTGATAAAATGGTCTGAATGATAGTTTTAAATGCTAATTGTATAGCAATTATGTTGTTAGTTGTTACTTGTGTCTTTCTTGCTATGCTCTGTCTTTCCTGAGTGAAGGATCTATGTTAGTAGAATGTAATCTAAGAGTAATATACTTGTACTGCAAGTGGTCCCATGAAATTAACCAAGGAGCAAACATCAACTTGCAGGTTGGGCAGCAACGCATTT